TCAACAGATACAGTTGGACAATTCCTGAACTGGTCTGATGATAATTTTATGACTTGTAACCCTGGTAAATGTAAAGAGTTTATCATCCGGAAGAAGGGATATAATGATCAACTTGACAATGTTTATAATATACCCCAATGCAAAGAACTTCCCATTTTAGGTACTACTTTTCAAGACAATCTCAAGTTCACCAGTCATGTGCGAGGTAAATTGGTCAAAGCAAACAAATGCTTGTACGTTATACGAACACTCAGGGCAGAAGGATATAGCCAATGTGAGATAGATTATCTATTTAAGACCCTAGTAATATCTACTATAACGTTTGGCCTGTCCGTCTACGGTTCTTCTCCAGCCGAACTCAGTACTCTACAACGGTTTTTTGACAGATGTTTTAAGCGAAAGTATATATCAGAACCTGTAAATATTAGATATCTTTTAGAAATACAAGACAGAAATATTTTTAAAGCTTCTGTAAATCAGAAGAGTGCCATAGTCGACTTGATACCAAGAAAAAAATCCACAAGCTACTCTTTGAGGACAGAGTTTAGTCAGTATCCAAGAGTGAACACGGAACGTTTTAAATTGTCGTTTGCAAATAGATTAATTTTTAACTATAACCTATTCATATGATGTAAACTTTACTAATTTATTCTTAATATATACTTGTAACATAAGATATGTATTTTTATCTTTTGATCTAATAAAAAGACTTTTGAATTGAATTGAATTGAAGATTTGTGCGCGTGTTAGCCTACGTAACATACAAAAGATTCTCCTCTCAAAACATTTTAAGAAAACCAAACACTTACATGCGATGTACTTGTGTTCCGTTCCCAGTTGAGGTATATCGAAAATATTTGTAAAAAACAAAGGATTTGTTCCAGTTTCAAATGAGAGCGGAATAGAATGGCTTCCCAAAAGACAAGCGCAGTACACTAAAAAAAGTAAAGAATAATCGCCGACCTATATTATTTTTCGTAGCAAAATTTCAATAGTTTGAATAAAGCATATAGACTACCAAGATATGATGACCTGGAACTAAACAGAAGTCGTTGTGTTATGTTTTTGTTTCAATTTATTTTAATTTTTTTATTATAATATTTAAGCAGGGAGCCCATATCTCCAAGGAGTTTTTCAATGGGGGCCCTGTGCACAGTCACGGTGATTGAGCCAGGATCTTAGCTAGAGGGCCGTGTTATGCACCTATCATTGTTTTCCCCCTGAGGGGAGGGGGGTGCGGGCGACCCAGGGGACTTTGACCACACTATGAAGCCCTAGTAAGGGGAATTTGACCTATGCATCAACTCTCAGAGTCGGGAAATTTTGTCATCCGCCATCTTGAAAGTTTGCGCGGTTTTGACATTGAATGGCCTGGTAACAAGTATGGCGGAGAAGCACGATCAAGTTTCATCGAAAAAGGTATTTTATAGCCTTTTATACACAGTGTCTCAATTTTTACCAAGTTTAAACCAGTATAGACTGTATGTTCGCATTGGAAAACATGTGTGTGCCTTGTTATCTTAGGAATATAGTGGGGAATTTTGACAGCCATTCCTTGCCCAACAGTGGGGATTTTGACAACAAAATTTTAAAAATG